CCAGCACATCCTCCCCCATATCCGGTCAACCCCCAAAATCCAAGACATCCTCCCCCATATCCGATCAACCCTCAAAATCCTGGGCATTTCCCACACCAACCATATAACCCCCAAAATCCTCACTATAATCCTCACTATAATCCCAAGATCTGGAAGCCCAAGCAGCCCAAGACTAAGATGAAGCATGTGGCCGGAGCGGCAATTGCAGGTGCAGCAGCAGGAGCTCTTGGAGGCTACTTCCTGGGACGTGCCATGTCTAATCTGCATTTTGGCTTTAACAACCCGAACGAGGAGCGTTGGTGGTACGAAAATCGCCATCGTTATTCGGATCGCGTGTACTATCCCCAGTACGTCGAGCCTGTTCCACAAGATATCTTTGTGAGAGACTGTGTGAACATCACAGTGAAAGAATACGTCGAGCCCACTGGGAATAAAACAGAGGATGAGATGGAAGCCACGGTGGTGAGGCACGTGGTCAGGGAAATGTGCATCGAGCAGTATCGTACTTTCTCCAGCTCCCCAGGAGCTGGAGGCAGCTCCAGACCTCAGGGTGGCAACCCAGCGGACTCGAAGCCAAAGGGTGATGAAGTGAAATATATAGTGGGGGAACCTGTTGTGGAAGATCCTGAGAGCTACATCTTAGGCAGCCCCATAGCCAAGATGCATTTTCGTTTTAATGACAGTGAGGAGGAACGATGGTGGAGTGAAAACCGCCAGCGTTTTGCCACCCATGTTTACCACCCAAACTCTAGCCAGCCAGTTTCAAGGGAGGCTTTCTTGAGTGAGTGTGTAAACGTCACCGTAGGAGAGTACGTGAAGCCCACTGGAAACCAAACCGAGGATGAATTGGAAGCCAGAGTGGTCACACAGCTGGCCAACGAAAAATGCATGGAGATGTATCCCCGCTTCACTGATCTCACAACGGGAGGCAGCTACTATAATCATAAACCAGAGACTACACTGGAGATCAAACGTGAGTTCAAACCTCAAGAAGGAGCAGCTCCCGGAGGAGCCAGTGGACACACTCTCCGTAACAATGCTGTGTCTGATTTGCATTTCTCCTTTGAAAATGTTTTGCTCCTTGTTCATCCTTTTGCAGTTTCAGTCCTTTCCTTAATCACGCCTTTCCTGATCTTCTAAGGGCTACGCTTCCTAAGTCTCTACCATGGTTGCTGTTCACTTATCAGAGGTCTGGAAGATCTCTCTCTCCCCAGCAAGAATTTAGTTGTGGTTTTATGCTTTTCTGGAGACTGCATCAGTTCAGTACAATGGGGTAAAAAAGAGATGCAATACATGTGATATCTATGAATGAATTCCAATTGCCATCAATCAATCAAAAGTGATTCCTTTTTTTTGTATTGAATGTCAAGTCTAATTTAAGGTGGAGACAGTGGATAATTCCCTCCATTCCTGTTGCCTAGATCCCTCAGTAGGATCTGCTCAGTTTTTTCAGGAAATATTTTAGCAGTTCAAATGATAGTAGAAGTTGCTTTTGAGATGGATGGATGGACGGAAGGAAGGAAGGAAGGAAGGAAGGAAGGAAAGAAGGAAGGAAGGAAGGAAGGAAGGAGACTTCTGAGGTTATTTAAATGAATACATCAAGATTTGAATTGAGGATTCTATTCAGACACACCTCAAGTCCAACCTCGGAACCAAATTGACTTTCTGAACAATTGGGATCGAGCAACTGAATAGGTTTGGATGTGGGCTTTTTTTGACTATCTCCAAAATAGCTCTCCTCTAATGGGAGCTGATAATTCCAACACGTATCTGATTAATCAACCATCTTTGCTGAGTGGTGAAAGCTGTCACACACCTCAAAAGAGAGGCAGGCAACATTTGGTGGCAAACATGATTTACAACGTCGGGTCTGACACCTGCAAACTTGCTGCTGAAGAAAACCATGCCATCTGGATAGGCTGCAAATGTTGAGCTGAACACTTTTTTGAAAACTTTCTTTTAAAATTATGATATACTTTTATTAGAGCATTTCCCACAGGTTCCTATCTCACTATGGTGGAAAGCTGAACCGTCACTTTTCAGCAATTGTGGAGGGGATGGGGAGGGGGGTTCAAGGGTTGCAGAAAGAAGACTTGGAAGTCACTTGTGGCCCCCTGCTTGATAAACTGTTTTTGTGCCTTCTTTGTTTAAACTGTTATCCCTACCCTTAAATATGACTGGGAAGTTTCGTCCACTCATTAGTAATTTGTAGGCTGAGAATACTGTTTGGAAGCCACATGGTGCCATGTTGTTTTCCATTCTTTGTTTTCCTTGACCTCTTAAAGGTTATTGAATGCCTGGGTGGGTCTAAAATCTATTTGTCTATGAAGATTCTCACTCTTCCAGGTCATGGTTGTCCACAAGATGCTTTTTTCCCCCCAGAAGGCAACTGGACTGTCTTGTTTTCTTCTTTGAAAACATTTCACTTCTCATCCAAGAAGCTTTTTTTCAGTTCTCATACAAGAAGGTCCTTGGATGAGAAGCAAAATGTTTTCAAAGAAAAAAACAACAAGGAAGTTTAGTTGCCTTTTGAAAAAAAAAAAAGCACCTTTGGAGTTAAACTCTAATTCTATCTTTAGTATTGTTTTTTTGCCATGCTGTGATAGTTGTCACAAATCAGAAGTGGAAAGAGACTTGGCTTGGATTGAAATTATGCCAGAATTGAGTTAGTTATAATGGGGCATCAATCCAACAAATGCATAAATATGTAAATAAATAAATTTGGGTTCTTAAGCTGACATCAGGACTATGTGCTTCTTCCCTTGAAACAAAGGATGTGGTTGGATTTATTCCATTTTCCTTCCAGCCCTGTGATTCTCAAAAGGAGTCTTTCTGAGAAAACAAATGCTGTATAATTAGCTTGGCTTAAATTCTGAAGATGGATTCCCATCATGAAAAACAGTCTTCTTTAAATATGATACAAAGAATTTTTTTTATCAACCCTTGATAAGCAATGTGTTGATAAACACTGCTTGCACCTTCTTGCTTGACTTCTATCAGTGGGTGTGGTTAAGCTAGTAAGACTAATGTGGAAGCACAAAGCTTCTGTTATCTCTGAATTTGGATCTTGCCTTAATTCATCTGAAAAAGGTCAGAAACATAAATTTCAAGCTAGCTTTAGCATCTGTTTTGTTAAAGAACTAAGAAATCCTGAAGGCTAGTTGGGGTATAACACAGTGTTTGTGTTTCAGTATAATTTTCCTTCTTTGTGTGATGGAAGGAGCTGTGCAAGAACACCTGGGAAGTCTATTTGAGCATCAGTGTTGTGAACAAAAAGCTAGAATTTTAAACTATTTTGGTTATTCATTACACTCTAACATGCTCTGTATGATACATAGTGCTCAGATTTTATTTCCATGTTGTAGAATGTTGATTGCCTAATGTTCCAACACAAAATGTATTTGAAGATTACTTGTTAAGTGCTTTGACTTGCTAATCTCCATTTACTCTTCTAACCCTTTCTGCTAAACTGCCAAATAAAACTGTGACCTATATAACACCAAAATAGATCTGTTGGCCTTGTATTTGGTCCTTGTTTGTAAAGCCACTGTCAACGCTGCTAACATCGGATGTTTTGCATTGACAACAGATGGAAATGTAGCCATCTTTTTACCTTTTGCTTTTAGATGCTGGGGGAGGAGTATGAATGCGAGTCTAGCTAGACATAACAACACTAAACGTAGCATGAGAATCAAGGTTATTGAGCCCTGAGCTGATAAAAAATTGGCGGGCTGGAGAACTGGAGAGGAAGCCCGTGCTTCAAGCTAATTGGGGAATGTGATTTATGACTGTTAATTGGAGGAGGGAATTGTGCTTTGATACTATGTGCCCAGGGGAGGGGAATTCAGTTTTTGGCTTCGATTATGTAGTGCTGATATTATGCTACTTGAATAAAAGATTCTTTAAGGTAAAACAATGACTCGAAGTTCTTTTGAAGAGTTTCATCTGTCGGAACCATGACAGCCACTGCAATAGTAAGAAGGGAGTTGGGTTAACTGATCTAAAAAAATCCCCTCAAACCCTTACATTCTCTGACTATGTAAGTATGATTAAGTAAGTTGCATAGACTGAACTGTTTTTTCACACCGTGCTAAAGTAACATGCATTGATTTAATTTTGGATTACTGTGACTAGCATCCCACCTGCAAGCTTCATAGTATCTTAAAATTGTAGGAATGCTTGGTCTTCTGTGTTTTGTGTGTGTGTGTGTGTGTGAGAGAGAGAGAGAGAAAGAGAGAGAGAGAGAGAGAGAGGGAGGGAGGGAGGGAGCTTGTATTACAGTCATATTACATTCAGTCTGGTTTGGAAGCATCACTGCTTCAGACAGGAAGGCGGTGCAGAGAGTGGTGAGGATGGCCGAAAAGATCATTGGCTGTTCCCTCCCTCCCATCCAGGACATAGCACAGAAGCATTGCTTGAGTAGGGTTCGTAAGATGATCTGGGACACTACACATCCTCTTCACGACCTGTTTTCCTTGTTACCTTCTGGGAGGAGGCTCCATGGTATCCGTAACAGAACATCCAGATTCAGCCAGAGTTTCATTCCATACAGCATTAACCTTGTGAACTCTCAAGCTTCCTCCTTCCGTTATATATTCAAGATGGACAGTATTTAATATTTATTTGCTATGTACTGTATATGTAGGGGTGTGGGTTTATATATATGTTGTACATAGTATGTTTAGGGGTGTGTCATGTATGTGTTCCACTTTGAGAGCAGGCAACTAAATTTCATTTTTGATGTGTGCCGTTGTGCCCACAGTAAAAAAATGACAATAAAGGTTATCTTATCTTATTTTCCCATACATTTCTGATATATACATATAGACATCTTTATTAGCAAAAGTTGATAGGACTTGATCCAGGGGCTTGACAGTGAAATGGGCAATGTATACATTTAACAAATAAATAAGTAAATAAGTGAGTAAGTAAAACAGACATAAATCATGTTCATTCTTTTTAAAGTGTATTCTGGCTTAGTGTGGTGTCCAGACTAAGTGCATGCACAGTAAAAAGGCACATTATCCAAGACTGATCTAAATTATTTGAGAAAGAAACACCCACCAAGCAATTTACCTCAGAAACAAAAGTACTGTATACATATTGGTTAAATTTTATAATTATCGTACACCCTATTGAAATAATTATCTATCCCTTTAAATGGCAGTTTAAAAATCTATTTCTATTATTTGCTTTCTTTTCCTAAAATCAAAGTCTGGCTTCCCAGATGATTCATTCCACTTAATAATAAAGCTGGATTTTATTCTGTGACATCTGATATTTGGGGAAAGGTTCTTTTTATATATGTGCACAAACAACATACTTGTATAGTTCGGAACAATTTGACATAGTCCAAATGTTTAATTTTTTTCGTATTTTATTTTTAACTTTATATCAAACATTTAATTTTAAAAAAGCATTTGCAAATAAAAATGAAGCCCATGCAAAGCTACAGAGTTACAAAATATCCTGATGACAACAGATATGTCACTTCAAAATCCAACATTCCCAACCCTCCCCACAATTCAGGGTTTTTTTTGCTGTTATATTAAAACAACAGTATTTAAATTTGGCCTTTACAACAACCTGGCAAAATATTCATATATACCAGATAAACTCAGTAGGTAAAGAACATATCCCATTATATTTTTTACCACACTTAACAATTTTATATCTGGTACAAGCACAGTGTCAATCAGCAAGTCTTTTTTTTTAAGTACCTTTTATAAATACCATAGGCTGATAGTATTAGGACAGACAAAATTATTATAAACCAAAGTGCAATTTTCAATTAGGTCTTAAAATTCAATAATTATGGCATCTTCAAACTAGCTAAATTCCAGTGGCTGTTGTGTTTCTAGACGTAATATTCTAAAGCTTGCTGTGTACAGTGGAGAAATAACAAACATACAAACTTTGCTAACAAACATTTGGACAAAAAAAACCCCAATCCTGTGACTCTGGTGGAGGCCATGTCAGCATTTGCATTCCAACCCTTAAGTAAATACATAAAACAGTAAGAAAGCAAAAGCAAGCTGTGGAAAGAGCAAAGTGTTTGTAGCAATCATGTTTCAAGCATAATGCTAATGTAGTTAAAGTGATGCCAGATGTCAAACATGGTTCTGTAAAATCAGTTCAGAAGCCCAACAATAGGCTCTTGTTCTCAAAGTTCATTAGAAGACCATCCATGAACTTATTCTGGCCTTTAGCTGAAGATATAGGGGATCACTCTCTCTTGCTTAATAGACTGGGGTGGTACAAGGTCTCCTGCCTCAAGCGGGGGGCTGGACAAAGTGTCCCTTCCAGCCCTATGATGCATGTTTTATGTTCTAACTAGCAATATTAGGGCCTGCTGAGACATCAGCACTGATGACATGACTAATTTCCCCACATCCAAAAGTGTTCCGTGAATTAGCAGCACTTTTGGGTTCTCCAGTTGTTCCAGAGACAATTCTAAATTCCAGTTTCTTTCTGAATATTTCTCTGACTTTCCAAAGAAGCCAATGGAAGTGACTTTGGTCCTAGAAGTCAAAGTCATTCCCAAAGTTTTGCAGAGTTAAAACCTTCAAATTCCTAGTGATTTTGTGGTCCAAGGAACTATTGGATGCTACCTTACTCTTGACGTTTAACTGAATCATTAATATTAACTTTCTGATCAGCTTGTCCCATTTGGTTCAGAACAATTATCACTTACGAGAAGTTGAAGTCCTCTCTGGCAGATGAATATATCTTTCATATTCTCAGTCTACTTATAAAGGATATTTTTTGTCATACCCTCGGACTCTTGAAATACCACTGTGGCAGTGAAAAGTTTTCAATACCTTTAGATTACTGGAAATCATTTCAGAAATTATTTCTTAACAGAAATGATATTTCAATCTGCTCATTCACATTCCAAAAACTGAGATATAATTTTTATTTTTTTCTGCTCTTAATAAAGTATTTCCACCATGGTATTTTTGTTTCAAGGCTACTTGGCCTCAGCAAGATCAATCACATGCTGTGTATCGACAACAATTGTGCTTCATAGGCCATAAGTTTATTCTTACATGTGAAATAGCCTTCAAAATGTCCATGTGTGAATCAGTCATGGTGGACGGGCCACTCAAGAGCTCCAAGGCTATTGTACAGATCAACTCTGGTTGCCAAAGCCCTTTAAAACAATGCAAATCTTTCCTTGTGAAGATATAGTTGGTCTTTTAGGGTGCCAGACGTTGTGATAATACAAAATAATTGCTGCATTACATATAAAAATAAAAAAGTTTTCTAGCAAGGTGCAATGGAGTGGCAGCTGGCCAAAAATTACTTGCCCGTTCTTATGTATGCTACTATATTGTGTGCAAGCGCAGGCTGAATGGTCAATATTTGAGAATGGAGTGAGATTTCTAGCAGGGTGGGTTTTGTTATAAAGTGATCTTATGTCCCTCCTTTCCCCACCCAAAAATGTTTTGCAGCTAAAGACAGAATCACAGGTGGTTATGAAGGGACCATGGTGTGCTCAGAAGAAGCCAGTATGTTCAAAAATACGTAGGAGATAGAACAATTCTTATACACACCCATTAAAAATTGCACATACAGGAATGTATTCTCCCAGCAGGTGTATACTTTTTTTTATAGAGGTCCCTTCTCCACACTGCTAGCTCAACAAGAGAGAACCTTCAGGAAAACAACTCAGTGTATCAGGAAACATAAGATCAGGGTGACCATTACAAGCACGGAAGGATTGGCAAGCAGCGAAGCGACCCCTGACATCAACCTGTACTGCTCCGTGCACATCTGGTGTACCACCTGGGTCACCACCTTTCTCTCCACCTCATCTGCTGTCTTGTTCCCACTGGGCTCCGTGTACTCAGTCACGGTGACATTCGTGCAGTCTCTCACGAAGATGTCCCTTGAAACTGGTTGGTCGTACTTTGGGTAGTAAACTTGATCGGAGTAGCGGTCACGGTTTTGATACCACCACTGCTGCTCAGAAGGATTGCTAAACATAAACGGCACGTTGGACATGGCACGGCCTAAGAGGTAACCGCCCAGTGCACCTGCCGCAACTCCGGCCACAGCTGCTCCTGCCATGTGCTTCATCTTGGGCTTGGGTGGTTTGGGCTTCCAGGGCTTGCCATATTGGCTGCCTCCATAGCCACCTCCGTAACCACCTCCATAGCCTCCTCCGTAGCCTCCTCCATGCCCAGGATAAGGTTGAGGGTAACCGCCTTGTGGATAGTTAGGTCTGTTTGGAGGATGTTGCTGGGGGTAACCAGGTGGGCGCTGGCCCCCGGTATTCCAGCCACCCCCAGGTTTAGGCTTCTTCTTGGAAAGAGAGGGTTCCATTTGGAGCAGGAGCAGAAGAAGTAAAATCCAACTGGTCCCAAGTGATTTCCTCATTGTTGCTTATTCTACATATCAAACAAAACAAGAATTGCTAGTTAAATGAAGAACAGTTTGGAGTTTAGGTCCTCTGAAATTAAGGAGACCTTTCCATACCTTCCATTTGAGCCCACACCAGATGTTGAGTTGCCGAAGGATGGGGAATCAAGTTATTAGACTCTGCATTTATCTGTAGAGCTTGCATATCACAAGTAAATCTTTGGGCTCCACTGATTATTCAAACATAAGACCGTACAAATCTTCAGATCAGTGTAGATCAATGTGGAAGTCCCACAGAATATTACTCAACTCTGCATGTTTATCTTATTAGCCGTATATATAGTATGCTTGGAAAGCATAGCGGGGAAAAAAAAAACATTAGACCATGACATGAAGTTGAAATAACAAGTTTTTGCTGAGCTCCTAAACCTTGAACATGAAGACACAACAAAGAGATGCTTTGATATGCATTGTTTTTACTTTGTTAGGGAGCACACGAGAAAAGGATGCGCAAGCAATTCTTTTGCCCTTGAGCTATCTGGTCTCCTAGGAAACCAACCTTTCTCACAGGCCAAGAACGAGGCCCAGAAACTCTTCCATAACAATGCCATTAAGCCTTACTATTTTCAAGCAAAACAACTACTGCGCCCTACCCCATGCTTTTGATGATCCAATGGAATCAAGAGCTGTTACGGAGGCCTTTTCAATAGAGCTGTTCTGAACTGACAGCCCATCTGGTAAAATCTGCAGGGTCGGCTGAATCTCTTTGATGGATGCATTTGACCTAGTTTTTTTTTTTAAAATGCACACCATTTGTGATTGCAGAACAATAATTTCAGCCCGGAAGTTGACTTTACCAAGGATTGGGGAAGGTTCTCTAGGAATCTTAACAAAAGGACAGGGACTAAATTTGCCAACGAGAATTTCTATGCATCTGTAGCATGATAGAAACAAAAGAATTCAATCGGGGCCGCAAGTCTACAGCTTTTGCTGGAGAGCAGAGCTTGCTTTCCCTCATGCAAGGGTTTTATTTATTCCTTGCTACACCTGCAATGAAGACAGCTGCTCACTGACTAGATCATTGTGGTGCTTTGTGTGCATAGCGAGAGGCAGTATGATTGTAAAACGGAATGTTTTATGTCAGCTTTTTATATTCCTTGCTGATCTGGAATGACCTGGTTTTCTGTTTAAGCGGATGACACTAAAACAAGGCACTCTGCCATTTTAAGAACTATTGTGGTAAAATGCTTTGTATACCACACCCTCCCCGGTGGTGCCCCATGCTTATTGCTTGTAGAAATGAGCTCAGTGCTCCCTACATTACATGATTCCATAGGGACTGTACAACCAGCAAGGGATTTAGGCTGACAGCGAGCTAAATTATCTCAGAAAGGAATCCCTAGTTTGGAAAATTCACAAATGCAGACCTTGCAATGTAATCCAAGGTGGCAAAATGGAACAAAGATTATAGGTCAGCTAGAAGTCACATTCTTTTCACGCTTCCCTCATTACTTGGCGAGGAAAATCCACCCATCTTTAAGAAGGCACAAAACATTTGTGGTCCTCATTACCAGTCTCTGTTCTGTCTCTGTTGTATCTGTTCTGAGTCACCGTGGAATGGGGCACTTCTACTGCGTTGGTTTTTCCCTCAGGCTCTCCAACTGTCTCCTGTCAATTGTCACCAGCCTGGAGGATCCACCAGTCAGAGCAGCAGAAATGGGTGAGTTTTCATTTCCAGCCTTTTCCTGTCTCATTTGTCTATCCTACTTGGGCATTTCCCAAGTTAAAGTAGAAGAAACAGGAGGGAAGAAACAACCCCAGGGAGGAGGTAGGCAGACCCCCCGTCATGACTAAAATTAGCCAGATTGTACGGATTCCACCATGGGGAATCAGCAAACTGACACTGATTAGTTTGGAAGTTGAGTCGTGGTGACTGGACTTCTTTTCCTGTTGGTTCAAAACGTTTCTCTGCTTATCCAGGTAGCTTTTTCAGTCTGAGCAAGTTGATTGAGGGTCTCTTATATATGTCCTCCATGGATCCCAACCAACTTGCTTAGACTGAAAAGGCTACTTGGATAAGCAACAAAATGTTTCTAATCAACAGGAAAAGAAAAGAAGTCCAGAAGAAGGTCCCATTTAAAGTCTTGAGGCCCAGACTTCCATAGAATCCTAGAGCTGGAACGTCTAGTCCAGGGATAGGCAACCTCGGCTCTTTTATGACTCATGGACTTCAACTCCCAGAATTCCTGAGTCAGCTATGCTGACTCATGAATTCTGGGAGTTGAAGTCCATGAGTCATAAAAGAGCCGAGGTTGCCTACCTCTGGTCTAGTCCAAACCCCTGCTCAAGGTAGGAGACCGTATTCCATGCTGGACAAATGGTTGCCCAATCTTTTCTTGAGCACTTACAACGCTGGGAGACAAGCCATTTCATTGGCTAATCATTCTCACTGTCAGGAAATTCCTCCTTATTTCCAGGGTGCACTTCCATCTTATGAGTCTCCGCGTATTGCTTCTTGTCCTGCCCTCAGGCGCTATGGAGAATAAATTGCCACCCTCTTCCCCGTGACAGCCCTTCAAGTATTGAAAGACTGCTATCAGGTCTCCCTTAAGCCTGCTCTTCGTTAGACGAAACATATCTAGTTCATCATGGGGTTTAGCCTCCAGAACCCTTATCATCTTTGGTGATCTTCTCTCTTCTCTCAGATAAGACCTCCTCCAGGTTCTTTACTGGTATTGCTCTGGATGCCCCTGCCAAGTCCAGTAAGGCTGATGGCTACAAGCAAGATGGCCTTTTTGGCTAGAAGGACCCACTTAAGAAAAGCTCATTGTGAATATGAAATGCTGCTACCTTAATGGTGCCAAGTTAAAACTCTTCCTTTGGCTCTAACATCTGTAATCAGCTTGTTTTCTTGTTCCTGTTCTATGCTGGGAGAGCAGATGTTGGTTTGACACCGCTCAATGTTATCGATTAACTTTTATTGTTTTGCATTTTGTTTTTTTGGGTGTTTGTGTATTCCTGTGATCCACCCAATGGATTTAGAGTACAGGGTGGAGTCAAAGTACAATACTAAATTAGGAAAAGAAGTGATCCAGATAATAACAATACAGGTAATCCTCGATTTACAACAGGACTCCCTCCTAGAGGGAGAATGAAACATCTGCTAGCAAACAACTAAGCTCTAAGCTACATCTATTATTATCTTTTTATTAGAACTAGAGGGATAAATTGTAAGATTTGAGAAAAGGCAGCTTCCTGGGGTCCTGAAACATCGATCAAACGAGTCTGAAGACCCAAGGGGCAGAGTACTGCAATAAATTTGGAATTCTATCTAACATATCTTTTTTTTTTTAAAATACTCTGGAGCTCCAGAAGATGCAGTAAAATAAGCATCTTAAATTATTAAGGGCCAGGAGTGGGAGGGGAAAAGGTTACAAATGCAGTTTAGAGATGCTGAGGAAGAAAATGGGTATAAAATTACTTGTGGTATAAAAATGGAAGAAGGGGGGAAAAAATGAAATTTCCATCCCTTTGAATTCAGCGCAGCTGATCAAACCTGGACAGAACAAGAGAAACCTTTCACCACCAGGAAGATTTTTAAAGCAAGAAACTCCACAATACAAGATGCAGCCAGGTGAGCTGCCAATATTTTTAAAAGGGGAACAGAGAAAGGCTAGCAGGACTGGGCCGAGTAGGAGGAACAGGGGAAGGGAAGTGAGAGGAGGAACAGGGGAAGGGAAGTGAGATTACCGCAGAATTTTCTTGAATTCCGCTGCGAACGTGGATTAGAGGATTAGAGATGGGGGGCAGAGGAAGCTGATGATGGGAAGAGGCTTTTTTCCACGCGGAGGTAAAGTCACCCTAGTCTCTCAACCGTGCCCAGCTCTCTCCTCCTCCTCGCCTCCACGGCCTTCTGGGGTTCTCCCCCTCGGCTTGGGTCCAACAAAGGCGCGACAGGCGACTGAAGCCACCACCGCTTGGCCAAGCCGGGGGTGGGGATTGGGGAAGGCGATCTCTCAGGCTCTCCCCACCCCCGCTTCCTTCCTCAAAAATCGAGCTGAGCCACCCCCCGACTCACGCTCTCCTCCCAGTCCCGCCGACCTAGACAACGTTGGCTTCAGTTGGGTTGGGTTCCATCCGCCGTTGGGTAGGTCAAAGCCAACCACGGTTGGGTCAACGGCGCCAGGTCGAGCCTTCCACCATCGGGGTCGGCGTCTTTGCCCCCCTCTCTCTCTCTGCCCCCCATCAGCCTCGTCCCCTTTGCTTACCCCGACTCCGGCTCTCACCCGCCTCCGTCTCCTCCCGAGGTCCTGGAGCTGGGAGGTGTGCAGTGCGACCGGGCCAGCTACCAAGGCAGCGCCTGTCGAGGGCGTTTGCAGTGCCGAGTGTCGCTGCTGCGCGCGGTCCAGGCGACGCTTTTCTCCAACTAGGAGGAGGAGGAGGAGGAGGAGGAGCGCTCCGCAGCAGCTCCTCGGGTGCGTAGCGCGCGCTCAGCTCTGAGCCAGCCGGAGAGGTGGAGACGACACCTGCACAGTACTTGGCCAGTTCGTGACGTCAGCGGTGGTTCTAAGTAACAACATCCCCCCCCGGGCATCTATTTACGCTTCCACCAATTGGAAGGTGGCAGAGAGGCAAGCCGGTGGCTCCCTTGGTGTGTGCGTTCGTGCAATGGTTCCCCCTTCGAGGTAGGCCAGCCAAGAAGCAAATTTAATAATAATAAATAAAGCAGAGCAATAAACGCCAGCTCTTGTCTTTATGGAAAAGTGACATGAATAGAGTCTTGTAAGTCTGAAAGCACCCCCCCTCCGGATGATGTTACCAGTTTGGGTAATAGAATATTAGAATAGCAGAGTTGGAAGGGACCTTGGAGGTCTTCTAGTCCACCCAACCTTTTTGGGCACCAGGGACCAGTTACATGATGAGAGGTTTTTCCATGGAGCGGAGGGGGTGTGGTTTTGTGTGCTGCCTGCATGCGGTGGATGGGGCTTTGCTTGCGTGTGCGGCCCAGTTGCTGGCATGCTGCA